TAAATTAATTAATAACTTTTGAAACTTTTACAGGAAGGAATAGCAGTGGGCCGAAGTTTTTCAATGTTCAAGAATTACCATATTGATGGCAACAAAGAAATGATCGCTATTGGGATGATGAATATTGTGGGCTCTTGTTCTTCTTGCTACCTTACAACGGGTAACGGGCCTGGCCCAGTTAGTTTATTCCACACCATAAGTATCCAATTTATAGACATCCAAAGCCCACCACTAGTGAGAGAGTTTTGACCTAGTAATTATAGCTTAAATAAATTAAAACAAAATATAAAAAGAAAAATAAGTTGTATCTCAAGTTTATTTGACAAGTCTTAAATTGCTAGTATATTATGCAAAATCACTTTTTTTTAAATAATTATTTTAGGGCCATTTTCGCGCTCGGCGGTCAACTTCAATGCTGGATGCAAGACAGCTGTCTCAAATATTGTCATGGCAATTGCAGTCATGATAACGTTAGTCCTTTTGACTCCATTGTTCCACTATACGCCGATCGTTGTACTCTCCTCGATCATAATTACCGCCATGCTTGGCCTCATTGACTACGATGCGGCCATCCATTTGTGGCATGTGGACAAGTTTGACTTTCTCGTGTGCATGAGCTCCTACATTGGTGCGGTCTTTGCTAGCTTTGAAGTCGGTCTGGTTATGGCGGTAAGTATCGATGTATTGATATGTATAATATATTGAAATTTAGCCATATATATCGAAACAAATACATACAAAAGGGATTCACACCTTGCAATATGGGTTTGGTCTACTGACCAAGAGTCGAGGCCCATTGACCAACGTTCTAGATTAGACTAGGGTTGAGATTAGAACCATGAATTGCACGAGCCAGTTCAGGATGTTGGGTCCAGAACGAACTCAGAAGGCAGAGGCCAACAGCTGCACTCGAAAAATGTGAAAATTCTAATATCAGCGTTTGAATTTTTAAGGCGATTTTCAAGTCGAACCATGTTGAATCCAGAACCAAAAACGCCAAACATTCGGGCAATTTCGGTTAAAGGTTTTCAAAAATCCTTGACCCAGATGAGTCGGGACCGAAATCGATGGTTGGCCCGATTTGCCTAGTCTACTTGGACTAAGGCTTTGTGGTCTATGTACACATGTAGTATACAATAGCAATGTTAAACTTTTTTGTTTAATAGAGAAAAAATTAGGCCATGACTTAGAATAACTGTTGTTTGATTGTTGAGTATTGACAATTGACTTGGTTAATTTTGCAGATTGGACTATCTATATTGAGGGTGCTACTATTTGTTGCTAGGCCAAGGACTTTGGTGCTGGGGAATATTCCAGATTCCAATGTATTCAGAAGTGTTGATCAGTACCAAAATGCAATTAATGTGCCAGGAGTTCTCATTCTTGAAATTGATGCCCCGATTTACTTTGCCAATTCCAACTATTTGAGAGAAAGGTAATTTCAATACTGCAACAGCCAACAAAATCATAATTATGAATTATACAAGCTCATAGGTGAATGAGTTATATGCATCTTTATATTTTTTTTGTTTAAATTGCAGAATTTCAAGGTGGATTGATGATGAAGAAGACAGAATCAAGTCATGTGGAGAAATTGAATTGCAATACATTATACTAGACATGAGTGGTCAGTACTTACAAGTTACTAACATACATGTAAAACAATTACAAAATACACCCCCAAATTATATAAATTGTGAATCCAAATTATACATTATACCGATTTCAATACTTCAGGCCATAATAGATCAAACTAACAAAATCTCATTTCTATAATATGTTTATTCAGCCGTTGGAAACATCGACACGAGTGGAATTAGCATGTTCGACGAGGTCATGAAGATCATCGATCGGAGGGGGCTCAAGGTAAAACTTGGTTCGACTACATTTTACGAATCGACCCTTACAAACTATGGAATTTACAATTAACTAAATTCTTTTTATTTTATCTCTTTTTTTTTTTTTTTTTTTT